TTATTTATTTAGATAATAAAAATATCATTTTTTTTAATTCAAGTCAGTTGAAAAATGAATAAAAATTGAAGTTAAAATTTCCAGGTTACTTGCCACATCATTGCTGACTAGATTTTCTGATAATAATTATCTGTCAACAGCGGTTAACACTAACGAAAAATAACTGAGGACATGGATGAAACATTAAATAAAATAGGACACAAGTGACATTTTGTTGGTAGTTCGTGTGTTGTAATGGTATTAGCCCTATTTAATTTAATGATATCGGACTTATCTTTTCTAATCGATATACTCTTGTACAAATACTCTTATTCACCTAACTAGTTTTGTGCTCGCCCAATGGGCGGCGAGTGTTATCTGTTTGTACTTTTCTTTCTATTATTTGTTATTTTTTCAATGGTATCAGATTCCTAATTTTCATAATTATTTATTATTGTTACCTATTATCACTGACTTATCTGATATGAGGGCCGCTACATTTACTCTATGTTTTAATGATGATCAACAATAAAGTTAAACAACGCTGTAACTTCATCAGCGCTTGGACCAACAATTGTCAACTTCATAAGTGGTACATGGTTTAAGCTCGTGTACGCCACCTTACCGAACTCCTATAGAGTTGGTATTTAGACCATGTATTAACGAAGTTTGGCACATGATGCTATACCATATTCTCTAATAGGTGAACTACGGTCTCTAATTCTCTAATCCAAATCGTACGATTCATTTAATGAAAAATAATAACCACCGTTTCTTATTTGTCAAAATATATTAACATACAAATAATATGTATGAATGAAGGTGCATATTACACCTCGAGTGTATGCTAGCCTTTTCCACCATTATATCAAAGTACAACAAAACTATTCGTCTATGCTTCTTACCTTCAACATTGTACGAATGATATCAAAGCAAATGTTAGTTATTGAGACACTTTGTCTTCACTTCACATTATCATCCAATATTAAATATGTGACTGACTGTAACTGGAATTGTGTGACTTAATACAAACATAAAGGCGTTATGTTGTGCAGTCAATATAGTAACTGAATTTACAGGACATCGTCATGATATGATCCTGCGTTGATTTTATAGGACACCGGTTCGGGTACATCCCACCCTGGTATACATGACATCGGTTAGGGTATGACCCGCAGTGGATTTATAGGACACCAGTCTAGGTACGATCTGTGGTGGTATGCATGACATCTACTGTACTACCCGAGGAATGTATGACTTGGCAAATTAAGATGTAAAATGTAATGAACCTAACCATGCATGTGATTGAATCCTTGTATAAATATTACTTATGATGTGGTTAAGTGATGACTTTCTATGATGTGATATATGAAATGTGCATGTCGATGATGATGGTTTTCTATGGTGTTTTATACAATGATTTAAGATTGTATGATATGATGTTTTGCTATGTTGAGACAGGGGTTACATGGTAATGCCAGTATGATGTGATATTTGATGCATATATGTTTAAACATTGAGTTATAAAGAGGCTGGGTGATGGTCCTTATGTTGTGATGTATGAATTCTTTGAGTTTGAGATGATGAATGTGATATGGCATGTGGTGATGAATGGATGTTTATTTGACTGAATAAGATATAGCATATTGCATGTATCTTGACAGTTAAGTTAAGGCAGAAGGCCTGAGAGGTGGGTGACGGAAAACTGAATACTCCATGTTCTGCCATGGTCAATGGGAGGGACAATAAGTCATTTTGAACTATACTCTTAAAGGTAACGGAGAAGATATAGATCATTATCTTATGAGTAAGGCTGTCCGGCCAGTGGCGTAGCCAGGATTTCACTTAAGGTGGGTCCGACGTAAAAATAAAATTATATAAAATGAATGAAATGACCTATAACGTGTTTCATAGTATGTCGACATATTTTCGTTGGAAGGTGGATAATTCGATTCTAAATTAGAAATTAGTAAATTTATAATACATAATTAGGGACACAGTTTTATATAAAGTCAAGAGTTATTTATATAATATGCAAGGTTCATGTGTACCACAAAGTTTTCTACAATTTATTTGTAGATAAGTAAAACCAGTAAACATGAGGTAATAGATTCCAGAGTTATTAATTGTGTACAAATATTGTTATATGTGTAATAATTTAGCAAGGATTGTAAATCTGTAGCAGTGGTTGTATTAAAAAAGTCAATAGTATGATATTTATGTTGAAACCATGGTTTAATCGTGATTCAACCATTTTATACTACTAAAAAACCATCTACGATTTAAAATCCAATAGAAGGTTTTCTCGATCGAACCACTTATACAATACGATTTTACAAACACTATAATCTTTAGCCAAGGTGCGTCCCGGGACCCACCTTGTTATGAGCTGGCTCTGCCACTGTGTCCGGCGAGTATAACTGGTTACTAAAAACAGTAATAGTAATATATGTATTAGGGTGTCATATTAAGTAGTACCTTAATAGCAACAAAATGAAACTATATCACCCTTATAAATATATATATATATATATATATATATATATATATATATATATATATATATATATATATAAAATGGTGTCATATTAAGTAAGTATTAAAATAATTATTTACATATATATCCAATAGTTTAAGATTCGTTTACAAATCTTTGCTTAACATATGTGTTATTCATCTGAATATGATTCAAAGTTGCACATCTACACATGTATGAAAAAGAAAGAAATTTATGTCAAACAATAAAAAGAGAAAAGAAAGGAATTATAATTACATTAGGAAAAAAGTAAAGACAATGTGTTTCATAATTGTGCATGGAAGAATATTTAATGACGTACGGAAAATGAAAAGAGAAAGAAGTCGGAATAACATAAAAAAAAAGATAATGGTATCATTTTAGTATGCGAGAAATGTCAAATTCAATCCTAAAAATGACAAATGCATTATGTATATGTACATGACTTTTTTTAACTTCTTTCACCAATTGGTCACAAACATATTTAAACCATATAACCATAATTCGTTTTGAAAAATATACAAAAAAAAAAACATTTGGTGATCATTGGTGTCTAGTGATATTCTTAAACACATGAAATTTTGTGTATATATCAATGTACCATATGACTTAACTATGTTGATATATTTCATATATTTATAGTAAGTATTTTCTAACAAACTGCAACATATCTACATTGGTTCACATATTTATAGTAGTTCGTACAAATAAAATGTTAAATTCTTCGTGTTCTAGAATGCGGAAGAAGATTATTCTTTACTTTTCATTTTTAATTTTAAAAGAAAATCACATGTCAAATTATGTAAAAGTTTATAATTGTGTACCAACTAAATTTATGCTTTTCGGATTTTTTTAATTATTTGTAAGAAATTATAAACAATTATAAAACATATTATAAACTAAAATAATTTATTTGTACATGTTAATGATATTCTTATCAATGCTAAAAAATAGAATATAAAATTTTAACCGTGATAGCTATTATATTGGTTAAAAAATAGTTGTGATTAATTGCATGAAAGATATTTTATTCTATTGGTTAAAAATTTGAAATGATTACAGTTTGAGCTTGTAGGTTGCATGATTAAATCTTAGTTATGGTGATTGATATACATGTTTTGTTGTGGATAATAGCATCAAATATACTTTATCCTAGTTGTTGAACATTTGAAATGATGATAGTTTTACCTCGTAGGTCACAGGTTCAAATCTTGGTCATGATGATTGATATACATGTTTATTTAGTTTTATTTTAATGTAACTAATAACTTAAAATGTTAAAAATGACATGGAAAATTGTGGAGATTTCGTTGTCCTACGTGGCAAAAACTTGCTCAACAACGGCCATAATATAAGTTAGGATGAGAATATTAAGCCTTCCTTACTCAATTGTTTTTCCTACGAGGCTTTTTTCTAACTTTTCCACCCTTTTAGTTTTATAATAATGAAAATATAATATATTTTAAAATAATCGTTAAATTACCATTTGACTACTACTAGATGTAATAGAATTAACATTCTACTAAAATCCTACCCATCAATATTATAAAAAAATCATTTGAGACTTGGGAGTTATAAGTTTTATCATATTGTACAACTAAAAATGCTATCATACACACTCTCGTAACATATTAGAACATACTATCATTCATGAACATAAGCTACATTTTCATGCAATGCTACCTATTATTCAAGTAGATTCGCTTATATTCATGCACATGACTAATTTTTCATGCAATTTATGTAAATGAGATTAATGAGTACAAAAAAATTATTATGTATGAAAATGAGTGAATCAACATGAATAATCGATATTGTTGTGTGGAAATGTAGATTTTGTACATGAAAGGTGGAATGTTCACTGTGACACAACTATCTTTTTCTATAAATAACGCATGTTACTAGTTTCATCGTAGAGCTTAAATAGAAAAGTAAATGAAGTTATGAGTTCAAAACGATTATCTTATTAAAAAAAAAACACATCCATGGAGATGTGAATAAGAAAAAATATGATTGATTCTTAATATCAATATATACATAAAAGAAGATAATTATTTTCTTCTTTTGTATAAACGATATACCACGAACAAAATCGACGAAAAAATCAAACAAACACCTTCATTACTCTCATCCACTTTCTTTTTTCTCTCTCTCTCTCTTTCTCTCTCTCTTCATCTGAATCCAAAATCAACCTAAGAAAAAATCCATTTCTCTCAAAAAAATTGATCACAAACAACGGGAAAACAAGAATTTGATTCAACAAATAAAAAGTAGAATTTGTGTTTGCAGGAAAAAGAGTTGGAGTCGACAACCACGTTCAACGGATGTGCATACGTATTGGGGAGAAAATTTGATTGATTTTCATTCATCTTCCCATTTTTTTTTTTTTTTTTTGTTCCTTCTTAACATATGGGATCTAAAATTGTTTGGTCGGCGTAAAAAAGTCGTAATAGAAGAGGAATTATTCCTCCACGTACATTGTTTTGTGATAGATAGAACAGATTAGATGGCTCAGCAAGGGCAGGTGTTTATCGACCCTGCTATTTTGGATGATATAATCAAGCGTTTGTTGGAATTTAAGCAAACAAGGATTGCCAAACAGCAGCAGGTCCAACTAAGTGAGAGCGAGATCCGCCAACTCTGCACTGTCTCTAAGCAAATATTTCTTCAACAACCTACTCTTCTGGAGCTTGAAGCACCCATAAAGATTTGCGGTCAGTTTTCCTATTCCCTCCTTTTTGTAGATTGCAAAGTCTGATGTTTTTATATCTTTTCATGTATAAATTTGAGAATTACCCTTTTGTGGTTGTAGAATTCATATGTGATACATCTCTTAAATTGAAGCTGGAAAATGAGAACACATGTTTTCTTTGCAATTTGGTTAAGAAGTTTGCTTGTTGTGAAGACAAAAAAATGTGGTAGTGTTCACGTGCATGGGAGTTAATGTTAGAGAGGTTGGGATAGGTCAAAGTATTGTGTGTTTAGGTCAAAATTGTTAGTCCCATAATTACAATGTGGAGAGGCTTCTAAGAATTATAAGTAGACATGACTCTCATTACTAAATGTATATGTTGAAGTTGTTGATGTTGTATGTTAGTGAAATTTATTCATTCTAGATTCGTGTGTTATTGCTTCTATGTGAACCCCCTCTATCTTTGTTATATATCCAGGTGATATTCACGGGCAATATTCTGATCTTTTGAGGCTATTTGAGTATGGTGGCTACCCTCCTCATTCCAATTATCTATTCATGGGGGATTATGTTGATCGTGGGAAGCAAAGTCTGGAGACAATATGTCTTTTGCTTGCCTACAAAATCAAGTACCCTGAGAACTTCTTTCTTCTACGAGGAAACCATGAATCTGCATCTATTAACCGTATATATGGGTTTTATGATGAATGCAAGCGTCGGTTCAATGTGAGACTCTGGAAAACTTTTACAGATTCTTTTAACTGTCTTCCTGTTGCTGCTCTCGTAGATGACAAGATCTTGTGTATGCACGGAGGTCTCTCTCCTGACTTGACAAACTTAGACCAAATAAGGAACATAACTCGTCCAGCTGATGTTCCTGATTCGGGTTTGCTATGTGATCTTCTTTGGTCTGATCCCGGAAAGGATGTTAAAGGATGGGGGATGAATGATCGCGGTGTCTCGTACACCTTTGGTGCAGATAAGGTTTCAGAATTTTTAATGAAAAATGATATGGACCTAATTTGTCGTGCTCATCAGGTTAGTAAATTTTGCTTTAATTTCTTCTGTCACAAAATTGCTTTATATGGATTAGATATTTCTCTTATGTAAAACACTGATTTCAGGTTGTGGAGGACGGATATGAGTTCTTTGCAGATAGACAACTGGTGACCATCTTTTCTGCTCCAAATTATTGCGGCGAGTTTGATAACTCTGGCGCTATGATGAGCGTTGACGAAACTTTGATGTGTTCTTTTCAAATACTTAAGCCAGCTGACAAAAAACTGTGAAGAGATATAGTTACTCACTTGATTTCTGCTTATGATCACTAATGTAAGTTTCTTGACATGATCATATTTATCTTTTTGACTTTATGGTATATGTATATTTTAGCATAAACTGGTCCAATTCATCAGTTTCTTGTAGTAGCTCATATATCTAAAATATTCGTCATCTACTAAACTAGAACTAACTGTTCGTGCATGATGGAGTTATAAATATACATGCATGCATGATGGCGTAACATGTGATTTATCTAACAATACATCTGCAAAAACAAATTAATCATCTCAATTATTAATTGTTGTTGTTGGGGTGGTGGCTATGTTTATCGATCGCACTAAGGGAGTTAGAATTACTTTGTTGTAATAATTTTCTTAGGAAGGTGAAGCTTTCAAACTTTCTTCCTATAAGGAGCTAATAGTTTCTAACATAGTTTTTTCTCGTTATTTGTTTAGTTTTCTCACTAGATGTTACAAGGGCTATGTAAATAAATCTCATTTTAAATTTCATTCAAGCAGTAATTATGGTGATCTCATATGTAAAAATTTCTTCTAAATATCAGAATATGTTAAGAATCTACCAAGTCTTATCATCTAAAAATGAAATGATTGAGAGGATTAAAAAAAGTAACAAGAACTTATTACAAGCTGTAAAACATTTGTTTGCTTTAAGTTGAAAGAGATTTGAAATTTGTCCTTTTCTCGTTCTATTTTACTAGATTTATCACTGGTAACTTGCAATAACCGTGTAAATATATTATTTTATATACCTCTTTTAAGCAATAAATTACTATGATTTGATATATGAGAATGTCTTCTAAACAGTAGCCTAGTTTAACCGCTTATTTATCATCTTAAAAAGAAGCAAAAGAATTATTTGAAATATGCATTGCCTCCAAATTTATTAATCACTCATATTGCTTATGTCAAATCTATATGCTCCATCCAATATCTCATTAGGTTACTATCTATACACCTCATACATTCATTTACATCAAGAGGAAAGTGAGCAAGTTTGTGAGCCATTGCATTTGCTTCTCGTCGTACATACTTCCAGGTTCTAAAGTCGCCTTGTTCTACAGCTTCTAGGATGGATTTGCAAATTGTTCATGTCTCTGTCAGATCCTTCGTTTGTTTTTGGAGCTTGGTCACAAGGGCTTTACAGTCTAACTTGATCTCGTATGGTCCCAAACTGAAGCTCCTTAATCATGGTTATTGCTAGCAGGCCCAATGCTCCAACTTCTATAGCCTTTCACATAAACCTCCAGCTCCCTTAGAATTACTTTTTTGTAGTCATTATCTTATGAAGGTGAAGCTTTCAAACTTCCTTCTCATTATGGAGCTACTTGTTTACGACGAAGTTTGCTCTCCTTTTTTGTTTAGTTTTCTCACTAGATGTTACAAGGGCTATGTAAATAAATATCATTTTAAACCTCTTTTGAGTAGTAAATTATTGTGATCTCATATGTAAGAAATGTTCTTCCAAATATGTTAAGAGTTTACCGAATTTTATTATCTTTACAATCAAATGATTGAGAGAATTAAAATAGTAACAAGAAGTTATTACTAATTGTTAAAACAATTGTTTGCTTTAACTTGACAGAGGCTTGAAATGCGTCCTCTTTTCATTTTGATTTACTAATTTTTTCATTGGTCAGTTGCAATAATGTGTAAATGTATTCATTTATGTACCTCTTTTCAGCATAAATTACTATGATATGATATATGGGAATGCCTTCTAAAGAGTAGGCTAGTTTTATATCGTATTTATCATCTTAAAAAACAAACAAAAATATTGGGTGAAATAAAATGTACTTTGTCATTCTTTTCCTTTTGTTTGACTAATTTTCTCACAAGAAGTTGTAATGCTTGTGCAAATACATTTTCTTTTGCATTTTTTTCAAGCTATAAATTATTGTGATTTCATTTGCAAGAATGTTTAGACATCAACTTGTTTAGGGAATTTTAGGAACATTATTATCTTCATAGCTATAAATTTTGGGACCATTTCCTAAACTTTCTTGCTTTGAGTTGAAAGGTGGAAATTTCGCCCGCTATTTGATTACGTTTTGAGAATCAATTAATTTAAAAATGTATTCTTGCTATCCTTGGTTTGCACTCACCAATTATATAGAAAAAAATCCATATTGTATTGCTGAAATAGAATAGCAAGTTCATTTCTGAGGGAATACATCTCTTGTGCAATGTTTAGTCATAATCTTACAGGCGATGGTTAGAACTGGAATACAAAAAAGCTCTGAACTTAATTCTTCAGCCTTTGAGTGGCTTGACTCCTAACTTCTTACTGTGTCGTGCTGCCAGCAACGAAAGGCAGACAGGAAAGCAGACCCTCACAGGCAGAACAACATGTTCGAGATGAGTGAAGTGAGAGAATCTAGAGGGGCTACATCACACTACTGGCTTAGGCTTGGGAACTCCGTATACCTAAAAGCAAATGAAAGTACTCAATGGAAGTAAAGATACAACTAACTGATATATATCTTTTTCGTACAAAAGATACAATTACAGAGCTGCATTGTACATTGTATAATTAGTATCGGCAAGCAAAATCCTCGGTTAGTCTCAGTTCAACGAATTCCAACTAATTTGGACAGGACATCAATAGATTTTTTCCACCACCAAATGAGTCTATTATCATTCACAGAATGACAAAAACCCACCGGGACTGTCGAATAAGACAGAACGAAGAAAGGAATGAAAGAATGGGAATGCTCAAGAAGTTTGTACCTGATCTGTTGCTCCCTGTCGTACGAAACCCAGCTGAAGACAATCAATAAATGCGATAAATCAGGGTATAACAACAAACATAAAAGTAACTAACACAAACAAAGGGAGATTATAAAGGACAATAGGAATTTGATCACTCTTCTACTAATTCATCAGGACACAATAGATATTACCATACTGAAGAAAATGAGCTGGCTGGTCACAACCAAAGCCAACAGGAGCATGTTGAGAACTTTAAAAGAAAAAGCATTGAAATCTTAAGAACTGCAATGAAGAACAAATTGAGGAACAAAACAGAAATTGAAAATTATAAGAATATGTAAGCTGACAGGGGCATACTCTTAGGGCGTTGGGATCAGGTCATTGAGCAAATAGCAATTCACATAATTATATTGCTGCAATATGAATAAGTTATAGAGGAATATCAGCCATGCTCATAAATAGCATAAACAATGCGAGAGAAAAGGCTTACGAAAAAAGAAATTATGTACCTGTTTTGAGGGAAGCCATAGCTGCACATTCGAAGCAACCAATTGATTTATCTCAACCGCGGTGGAGCTCCCACCCCAGTTCTGCATACTGCATTAGTATCTCATCATCTCTAAGCTCCACTCGTGTTTCCTTGTGATAACATTCCTTAGCGGCATGGAGGTCTCCCTTGGACGGAAACAATCCAAGATAAATGATTTTAGAGTCAGTTTTTGGGCACTTCAAAAGAACGGGAACCAAGCAAGCAAATAAAAAGAGTAGTTGTTTTTTAAACTTGCGAGCGATGAGCATAATTACTGATGAACAAAGGGTGGCTACGAAACCTTTGCAGGTGAGCAATCGAGCCTTGGCAAGTCTCCACTCCGTGATTCAGCATTATCAGCAGCAGGAGCAGACCCACAACTCCAATCACCCTTCTTCATACAGATGCAGCATTCCCAAAAGTGACAGTATCCCATTGTAATCCAATCTCAAAAACAACAAAAAATGAAAGGCAAATGTTACCACTAAGACATTTGAAACAAAGAAGACTTATCTAGTATGAGCAACAACTAAACAAAAGAAAATTCAAATGGAATACTGCTAGCTTCACATTCATTGATAGAGTGATGAATTTAGCTAATTTTATACTTCTTCATATGCTAGATCAATTTATATCATTATACACCACATGTACCAACCAGTGAATGATTTTGGTAGAAGGAAATTAGGTAGTTGAGTTATGTTTGTATAAGGAATAGAACTAAGAGATTGATAATTGAGTAAACTCACCTAACATGATCGATTTATTCTCTGAAATTGTGAAGGACCGGTTTTTGTGTCGTCAAGCCACCGTTTCTTAAGAGGCACCAATATCAAAGCACTGACTTAGATACATCAATAGAGAGAGGGGAAAAAATATATGTCCATGAGAAACCTATTCGTCCAGCCTATTGCGGGTTTTCAACAATGGCCCCATCAAGCAGTAAATGCATATGAGCTGGTGGATTGACCAAGCCAAAGCTCATGATAAAGCTTTTAGTGCACAGTGCCTCTCCTCCTACCTTGCTAAAGAACAAAATCAAAATCAAAACCTTGAACTTTTTCCAATACTCCCACATGTATCAACGCAAGCAAGAAGAATCAAAATCAGTTGAACATACCTTCATCGTAGAAATCTCTATAAGCCCCTGCACATAATACTCATCCAGAACATCTCTTTGCCGCCAAATCACCAATAAAGAGAGATCCATTGCAATGAAGGAAAGGGATTTGTCCCTTTCTTGCCTTTTTGTCTTTCCTCTGGTGGTCGCTGTCGTTGGTGAACTGGAAATGGCGGAGGCTTGGGCAGAGAGCGACGCTCCGACGCTGGTACAGGGAGAAGGCAGACTGGCCAGCTAGTTTCCGCCTTTGGGGTATAGTTTGGAGAAGGAGAGAGGTGGGGAGGGAAGGAATGAGAGAAGGAGATTGGTTTCTTTGTCATGGATAGTAGGTGCTTCTGGGGAGATGATGGGATGAGGACAGAGAGAGAAGAAGAAACTACGATTGGTATTTTCGTTATGGCGATGGCGTGTTTGAGCAGTTGCAGAGAGAGTGGGAACTTTGGAAAAGCATATTGGAATGGTGAAAAGATGGACATGACTAAAACAGTGTCTGTGATTGCTGATTTTGGGTAAAGGTAGCGTCTAGCGTGAGATTGCTGATTTTGGAGTAAGGTGGCGAAGAGAAGGCATGGCAGGCTGCTGGGGAGCAGAGAAGTTACGACTTGGGTCGGGGCGGGGGACGAAGTGTGTGGGAAGCTCTTTAGGCCATCGCCCACAAAACGTCAAAAAGTGATACAGTGAATAGAGTCTTGGGCCAAAAAGCGTACCCAGCTTTCATGTTTTAAAAGAATTTATCATCTTTAAAAACAAACAAAAATATTGAGTGAAATAAAATGTACTTTGTCATTCTTTTCCTTTTGTTTGACTAATTTTCTCACAAGAAGTTGTAATGCTTGTGCAAATACATTTTCTTTTGCAATTTTTTTCAAGCTATAAATTATTTTGATTTCATTTGCAAGAATGTTTAGACATCAACTTGTTTAGGGAATTTTAGGAACATTATTATCTTCATAGCTATAAAATTTAGGACCATTTCCTAAACTTTCTTGTTTTGAGTTGAAAGGTGGAAATTTCGCCCGCTATTTGATTACGTTTTGAGAATAAATTAATTTAAAAATTTAGTCTTGCTATCCTTGGTTTGCACTCACCAATTATATATTAAAAAATCCATATTGTATTGCTGAAATATAATAGCAAGTTCATTTTAAATACTGTTATTTTAGAAATACTTTTGGGGGAAAATAGAAAACTAGGAAAAAGAGCAATTCTTTTCACCATGAATCCATGAAAGCGTTACAAAAGAAGTAAATCTTCTGAAAAGGAAACCTAACTAGTTTGACTTTAGACAATGGGTTTAATTACATATTTTGTCGTGTTATTACTCAAGCAAATTGGCCGTTGAGCTCAGGGGACTAGCTAGGTATGCTGCAAGACATACGTACATTTGGCAGTTGGGGCAAGCAAACGTGGAAGAAGGTAAGGTGATTTGTTTCCTTGTTTTAGTGTGTTTTGGCCAGCACAGCTAAAAAAATGCGGAGATCTGGAAAACCTTCCATCTCATGCTTTCTATAAAAACATGACAGTGAAGTGTGCTCTTCTACACACAAAATAAACTTGGCTTTGTAGTGAAAAGAGAGAAAAGATTTGTATGGGTTAAGATCGATCATGAAAATGCAGCTTCGTGCAAACTGCATCCTTATTTTGTTGCTATGGTTGATTGCCTTGGAAAGCAAAATTGTTACTGGCTCATCTTATTCTCTCCTCAGGAAACTTGAACTTGAACGATCACAAGTTGTAGTTGGAAAACCTAGTGAAGATGGAGGATACCAGCCACCAGTAAGTGCACCTCCAACTCAAGGGTATCCATCTCCAACACCACCTTCGATTCAAACACCACCATCTCAGGGTTACCCATCTCCTTCCCCTCCTATTCAGTACCATCCACCTTCACCAAGTCCACCTACTCATGGAAATCCACCGCCAACTCACGGTTATCCCTCTCCACCATTTCCTCCATCGTCCCCTCCTACTCAGAGCCCTCCAATCCAAACACCGCCATCTCATGGCTACAGTCCTCCTCCTGTAATCTCTCATCCTCCTTCACCAAACCCACCTAGTCATGCACTTCCACCTCCAACTCAAACACCACCAACTCATGGTTATCCATCTCCACCTCCAACTCATGAATACCCATCACCACCTTTCTTAAGCCCTCCCATACAAACACCACCATCTCATGGATACACCCCACCATCTCAAGGTGGGCAACCACCTCCTATAATTTATCACCCGCCTTCACCAAGACCACCTAGTCAAACACATCCGCCTCCAACTCATGGTTATCCCTCTCCATCACCTCCTACTCAACACCCATCACCACCAACTCATGCTTACCCTCCACCACCTACTTCAATCCCTCCAATCCAAACACCACCATCTCATGGCTATAACCCACCAACTCCCAGTGGACAACCACCACCTGTTATATATCACCCGCCTTCACCAAGCCCACCTAGTCATCCTCCTCCAACTCAAACACCACCATCTCATGGTTATCCTTCCCCATCACCTCCTATTCAGCACCCATTTCCACCAACTCATGGTTACCCTCAACCATCTACCCCAAGCCCTCCAATCCAAACACCTCCATCTCATGGCTACACCCCGCCTTTACCAAGCCCACCTACTTATGGTCACCCTCCGCCAACTCAAACACCACCACCTACTCAAATCTCACCACCACCACCTCATGGTTACACCCCACCAACTCCTAGCGGACAATCACCACCTGTTCATGCACATCCACCGCCAAGTCAGACACCACCAAGCCATGGCTATCCCTCTTCGCCGCCTCCTGCTCAACTCACACCACCAACTCATGCTTACCCGACACCACCTATAATTTATCATCCACCTTCACCTAGCCCACCTATTCATGCATATCCACCGCCAACTCAGACGCCACCAACTCATGACTATCCTTCTCCATCGCCTCCAGCTCAGCACCCACCGTCACCAACACATGGCTATCCACCATCACCTTCGTTAAGCCCTCCCATCCAAACACCACCATCTCATGGCTATACCCCACCATCTCAGAGTGGACAACCTCCTCCTGTCATCTATAACCCACCGCCAACACCTTCTCAAGGTTATGGGCATCCTTCCCCTCCACTGTAATAGTAGTGCAGTGCAAGGCATAAAGATAACAAGAGTTAAACATGCAAACTGTCATTGTAGACAATGTGTTGTTGCTGCGAATAATTATAGTTGTAATGTGAATGGGAAAGAAATAAGTAAAATGAACTTGTTGCTACCACCTTCTGATTTCAAATCATCTCTTCCTCTCCGTAAATGCATTTTAATGACAATAATTTGTTTTAATAAATACAATGATGTTTATGGTAAAAGGATCTAGGAATGGGAAAGTAACTTAAGTGTTCAAATATCATAACATTGTTGGCCTTTTTAATTTTTGACATTTTCACTTCTCTTTTTACTTTATGATAATCAAAATTATTCAACACCAAGATGAAACGTCAAAAATAATAATAATTAAAATATTATACTAGTACATTGTAAGATTTTCTATTGCTAGTCATTATAAAAACATTCTAGCATTGTTACAAAAGAGAACTACGGGACCATGTAAAATATTAAATTGATAATGTACGTATTAAGCAGGTCGAGCGATTTGCGTCATCATTCGGGTAAAAAAAGGTCATAAGGTCCAATCCATATGAAAATGGCACCTCAACCCATAAGACAAACAACTCAAATAGACACTACACTAAGGTAGGTGATTAGAGGCTCACAAAGAGTAAAATTGACTAGGATGACAAAAATAGCCGTAATCGTGGATATCCACTCTAATCGGGTAGGGTAAAACTCGAATTCGAAAGACTTTTTTTTGGGTACGATCAAAACCCAAACCCGAATATTGCGGGTAATGGGTGGACATGGTTTTTTCACTATCCAACCCAAACCTGCCCGATTATACACATGCATTAGTATTTTGTATATAAATAATCATTATTTTTCTCTAACATATTTTATATTTAGCATATAAATATAATATTTTCATGAAATTGTGTTGTTTTAAGTAATTTTCTACATTCTAGTGAATTATTGTCGTACTTTTCCTCCTATGTAATGTGAGAATATGCGTGAATGTTAACATATTGGTTGGATTTATAAAGGGAAATTATTACCCATGGATAACCGTTGATACCCGAAATCCGAACGGCTATGGGCATGGTTTTGATTTTCTACCCATTTCTTATGCGGGTATGGGTAAAACCCGAACTACTTTAGGTAGGGTAACAGATATGCATTATCCGCGCCCAACCCAACCCATAGCCATCCCTAAAATTGACTTATGAATGTAAAGGCTCATGAAAAACCTACATTGTTTATGAAGGTAATGTCTTATTTTGGTAAATCCTTCTATTGGACATGCATTGTCTTAAATTGAGACTTTCATTGCGAGTTCATACCATATAGTTCTGCTGGATATGTACTTAAGATTATACCATATGGTATGCAGGATCGACAAAGAGGGTGTACTAGGAAACCCTCCAGCACATGGTTGTCAAATATTAGGGGGCCTCCATCTAGATTTTGCAGTAATCGTAAATTATAGGTTGTATTTGTAGTGTATGCTTAATTGATTATGAGTATGGTGACTAGTTTAATTATATTAATTAATATTAAGGTTAGTCATTAGTTAATACTTAATATCTATACACTAGATAAGTGTATGTGTTCGAAAGGGTTAATACCCTAATTTGGCCCAAAGTTTCGCGTAAGTGACCGTTTTGCCCGACATTTTCAATAAGACAGTTATGGCAAACTTTTCAAAGTAATGGACAGATTTGGCCCAAAAATTATGTTGACCATTAAAACTAACAGTCAAACATTATTTCGTCTATGACTTAGTATCAAATGCTAAGGTGGCTTCGATATGGCTGCCACAACATTAAATAAATTATTATTTAATTTTTTATTTTTAAGTTAATCTTTTTTTAACCAAAGATCACTTGCATTACCAAGAAAAACAAAGATACAACGTTCAGAACTCCAAATGGAGCCAAGCGCAAAAATAAAAAATGCTCAACGCAAGTAGAGAGGACCTTTCTAGCCACTAAATGGACTACCCTATTGTTCTGTCTGCCTACAAAGTGCATAGAGAATCCCGAGTTATCACGAAGCAGCCACTGAACCTCTTGCAAGATTCCCCCGCCCAGTGCATCATTTACCATCCCTGCTCTGACTTTATCGATGATCCCCTTCGCATCACTCGCCAGACGCAGCGATGAAAACCCCGCTCTGAGAGACCACCAAATGGATTCCCTTAACGCCACCAATTCCACAATTGTCGGATCCTGGATACCCTGGAGCCACTCTCCTTTCACTTTAAAAAAGACCACTGACGCATCGCAAATAACCATTCCAATTGTAGTTCGCTCTTCCGCACGAATCGCACTGTCGAAATAACATATGAAGCCCGGAGGCACTGCTGGTACATCCAATGCCCCCAGGGATCCACAGACCTCGTCCCTTGCATGCCCATGTCCATCCGCCGGTCCTGAAATCGCCATCCACTCTGCGACTTGTGTTTGATATTGGGCTACCAGTATAGAAATTAATACATGTTTCTCATCGAACACGACCCAATTACGGGCCTTCTAGATTCGCCAAAGAAGGGCCACAATCCGCACGACCCTCCCAGGGTCGTCATCCGCTGCCAGGAAACACCGGAGGAAGATGCCAACATGTTGTGTAGGGTAGAGGGCCATGGACTTCCGCAGACCCGCGGCTTCCCAGAGGGAAACCGCTACTAGACAGAAGAACAACAAATGTTCTAACGTTTCCTCCTCCGCCCAACACACCGGAAACTTTGGCAAGATCAATTCATCACAAAAAGAAATGAAAAGAACTAAAAAGGGGACTACCATCCCTGCCTCTCTCTTTGCAATTTCGTCGTCGTCGTCGTCTCCACCCACCGCTCCGCCGTCTCCATTTGTTTCGTCGACTTCGTGTCAGACACGCCACCGTTCTATCCCCGCAAAACACAATTCGTTCATACAACAGGGTAACCTTCTCGATGGTGAGGAAATCCAGCAACGCTCGTGTTCTTCCCCTTCGCCTGTCTGGAAAAAATCAAAACTTCCGGCTTTTGATAGCACATACAACCAACAAAGCTCAATTGAATATATCATCCATTTTCACTCACCCTGTTAGTCGATTTCAACCTTCTTCATCATTAGCTAGGCTAGAATAGAGAAGGCCGAGGAGAGGGGACGTGTGCCCGTCGATTTCAACCTACTTCGCGTCGGCTAGGTTGGAACAAAGGAGTAGCTTCAGTTCGCGGCAAAGGTAGGGGAAGCGTTGCCATCGATTTCGCCATGCTCGTCGTCAGTGGTGGTGTTTAGTGGGAGGTGGTTGGGTTGAAGGCAGAGGCGAGGTGGGAGGGCAAGGTGAAGGGTCAGTTCGCGGCAGAGTCAGGGAAAGGTGCAGAGGGTAAGCCTGGAGAAGAAGAACCGAGGGGGTTCTCAGGAGGATCTGGAGATGGGATCATCGTCGTGCGTGGTCTCTAGGTGGAGCTAGAGGATGGTGATTATCGCCGGGCCGGAGGATTTTGGAGGAAACAAGGGCCGGAGCGGGTGGGGACTTTGCGAGGGTTTAGAGAAGGCAGAGAAAGAGAGCAGGAGCGAGTGGGGGATTTGGGGTGAGTTGTAAATTTTTTTAAATTAATTATAAAATTAAAATAATATTATTTAATGATGTGTCATGCCACATCAACGGTTTTTCCTGAGTCATTAACGAAATAACGTTTGACCGTCAATATTAACGTCAAAGAAAATTTTGGGCCAAATTTGTCCAATAGTTTCAAAAGTAGGTAATAAATGTCTTATTTGAAAAATGGGGACAAAACTGTCACTTACGCCAAATTTTGGGCCAAACTAGGTTATTAACCCTTTCGAAAATCCTACTTGAATTAAAAAATAATACAAGAAAATCTTAATGGAATAACTATTATAACAATTGAAAATGATATCATCACTACAAAAAAGCGTGCCATTAGTGACCAAAGGTTTTTGTCGGTAAAGGCCAAATGTCGTAGCAAATGGGGTGTTGCGACAGCATGAGGCCGTCGTGCGCCGTTCCAAATACGAGCGTCACAAAAACTTTCATCGTGACGAGCCGTCGTAAAAGCTATTCAAATTGACGAACTACCCAGTTTTTTTTTTGTGACGACAAAGAAGCGTTGGGAAAATTAACAATCTCGTCAGTAATAAATTCTCATCGACGAAGATTAACGACATTGTTTGTTTTTTTATGAGACATAGTTGTCGCTATGATCAAAAAATTCATCGATAATACAACTTTTTGATGACGTTGTCTGTTTATGACTATACATATCCATCTCGATAATTAATAAAGTCATCGGGAATACATTTTTTTGGACAAAGTTAAATGGTATTTGAGACAATTAAACATCGTTACAAATATTATATTTACGACGAACGAGGGATATCACAAATAAGGATTCCAATATTTGCGACGTTGCTTAATCTTGACGAAAAAAATACTATTGCTGATGATTTGTAGCTGTCACTAAATTATTTGGTTTGACAAAAAAAATATAGTTTGCGATGATATGTAGCCGTCACAAAAATAAGCACTTTGTCGAAAAAAAATTGTTCGCGATGATATGTAACCATTACTAATTTAATCAGTTTGACAAAAAGATACTATACTATTAGTAACGATATGTTTCTTTCACTAGATTAATTATTTTGAAAAAATGTGGTTGTCGGAAATAGGTAGATTTGCAACAGAGAGACTATATTGACAAAACTAGGTAATCTAAAAAATTAAATATTCCAAATGTTATAAGTAATAATATTCAAAATGCGCAATATTTTTTTTATGGTTAATCAAAATTGTATTGAAGCCCGGGGAGGTGTAACTCTCATCCTCCCTCTTAATGTGTCAACTCTTTACACTCATAAGAAAAAGCTATACTAACAAGGAAGCAAATCCAACAACAAAAAACTCTATAAACCCAGCACTTCCATAACCATCTGCTGTAAGGCAATCGTACCACTTGAGAATAGTTGGAGCTCCTGCACTACTTTTGTTGAGATTTGAATGGGATCTGAAACTCTTCTTGC